TGAAAGCCCATTGGAAATACCACCGATACCTAAAAAGTCACAGAAATCACTGCTAGCAGACAAGTCAACACTTGTTTTATTTCCATCTAAGCCAAGTCCCATCCTGAACACAATAACTAGGTCTGTTCAGAGAGAGAACTTGGATGGGCTGAAACATACAGATATTTTCCACTTACACACACGAGGCCAAGATTTCATTCCTGGGAATTGGTGACACCAGAACACTGAACACAAGAACAAATTGCATCTGTGATTCCAAAATAAACAACAGCACAATACCTTCCAGCTGAAGTGATTTGGCCTGTACACCACCGAACAGTGGCCTTCACTACCAGGGCCAAAAGCCGTGTTAGCTGGTAAAGATTTCTTGGCTCTCAGTGGATCAAAAAAACCCCCCCAAACCCCAAGTTTGCTACGCTGTTGAGGGAACCGCTCAACAGCTGCCCATGGTATTTCCAAGCAGAAGTGAGACAGGTATGACAGTATTTGGACCACAACTGGCATCTCTGTGCAACCATCAAAAGAGCACAGGTGGCACAGCCAGGAGAGTAAGGCACCCTGGACAGGCACAAGTGAAAGGAATGTACCTGGTGTCAGTTTTCGGAGAAGAGAACTTGAAAAAAATCTTTTGGAGTGTGCATCCAGTCACAGCCATTAACACCAGGTATTTCAGAGCAGTACATTTACACTGAAGCAGTAGATATCACCAGATTTTATTTTTCTTTACAATTCAGGTCACAGAGCCCAAAGATTTTGATTTTAAATGTTAAGAACTAGCACTTCTATGACAAATACATAATCTTTAAGCTAATGTACTGACAAGAGGTTAGTGGAGTAGTTTTAAGACAACTTTATGGATTTGGAGATTGGGGTACACAAGAAAGCTTAGGGATCAAAGGTTGTGCCCATGGTGCATGTTCCTATGCTGGTATCTCCAAGAAGCCCCACAGAGCGCAGCTGTCCATTCGCACTCATTCATATACTGCTAAACCTGATCTTCAGGTCTTGCCACAGGTCTACCTGTAGAAGCCAGGACATTTTCTGTTCCTTTCCTCCACATGGTTCATTTGCTGGAGATGTTTTTGTCTTTTTCCACAAATAAGCTGTGATACCTGTATACAGCCACAGGCAACTTTTAATTATGATTTAATTCCTACTGTGCCAGTGTCCATGTGCCAAATCTATACATTCTTATGTGGATTTTTAGACCTTGCATCACAACTCTTACCATCTTTTCTTTAATTTCACAGGGTAAAGCTTAAAAACAATTAAGCTAAACATAACCCACAAGTTTGTTTGATAACCTTTGGCCATGCCAGGTAATATATAGCAGAAGATGCACTCCATGTACTTAACAAGTCATGGCAAATCTAAAGAATTGTGCATCATTAAAATCATAATGTACTGAAATTTAGAGATGCAATTAGTCACACCATCTGATGATATTTTATGTTCAGCTTTTATTTCTGCTTTCAATACTACTCAGTAATGTTCAAATAGTAGAGTTCACTTAAAACTGAACAGAAAAACTTTCATGAGCTGTGTATCTCCCACCCCATTCTGTACATACATGACTTGTTAGCATATTGTATAGCAGCAAACCTTGGCGTGCTCATTATCCTAAATGAGGACAGGTTTAATAATTTATCTTTCATTGACATTGGTAGGTACAGGCACTGGAGAAAATGAGAATGTGCAAAACGCCCAAAAAGGCAGAAACACACTTGAAATACACTTGATGAATCTGTGATTTCAGGCAAAGATATTAAAGATTCTATTTTTAAAATTTTATTTGTATCCTGAAGACTAGTTGGTGGATTTGAAATAGCTGGTTTTGAAAAGAAATGGAAGCAGTTGTGCTTAGCTGTTGCCATTGCAAAAATCCATTCTGGAACGTACTGAACTATGAATAACATCACTAAAAATTCATAAAATGTGTGGCTCATTTCCATGTCAAATTGCAGTTCAAAGACTCAAAACTGATCTTAATGCAACTGTAGAGGTACTTATTTACCTAAGAACTTAAAATCAGAAATGTTAATGAGGAGAGGCCTTCGAAGTAGGAAGCTCCCATCTGCTACACGAAACCCCCTCAAGAATCTAATTTTAGACTTGCAAAGTTTATTTTCCAGTTATACTGCACGTGTTTCTAAAGCATTCCAAGAACACAGTACTGCATAGGTGTTACCGTGCACATAAAGGCCAGATTCACAAACCTTGGTTTTCATTATACTGCAGCCACCTGTTCTGGAGGTGACACTTGCACCAGTAAATAATGTTTCTGCTGTAAAATTTCACCACCTGTTCTGGAGGAGGCACCAGTAAATAATGTTTCTGCTGTAAAATTTCCTTCAGACACTTACCCAGTAACAGCTCAAACGCCTACCAGAGCTGCTGATTCAGCAAGTTCTCCAGCTGCCCCAACAGATTCTCATCCTGGCTAGAAAAGTCCTCGCACTCCCTCAACTTAGTACAAGACTTAAGAGCACCACTGTCCCTAGCACCGCTTTCTTTGCCAGGGCACGTGGTAGAACGGACGCAATGAAAAAACAGAGCTTGTGAGAAGTTAGACTAGACAAGTGTGATTCAAAAGCCCCCCCACACGATTTCTACTGGGAGTTTCCTGCTTGTACTACCAAACCCAGAGCATCTTTGTGAGAAATTTTTTTTTCTTTCTAACAGTTCTGGTTCATAATTGGCAATGAGGTTACGAGCTGGAAAGACTGAGGAAACTTAAACATCTTGTCCTCTAAAATCTCTAAAGCAAATGAGCATGCTTTTGACAGTATTGATTTCTACTAAAAAATTTCACTTAAACCCAAGGACTTCATCCTCAACTTCTATGAGATTCAGAAAGCAAAACCAAACATTACTGTAATGTCTCCTATAATTTTGTAACTTCCAAAGGACTTTTTGAATATGGCTAACAGTCCAGCATTTTGCCTAAAAATGTCTCCACGTGAATTTAAACAGAAAGTGATCTGTTAATATACATTCTGCAGATAGGCAAACCTAGCCTCATATGATGTGACATTATAGACTACAGTCTATAGACTAGAGACTAGAATAAGATTAGATCCTGCACTGCAAACTGTATTTTGGCCAGAAAACACAATGTATTTTAATCCATGAGAATACAGGCATAAAAATCGCTGACTGTTTAAAGTATCATAGGTTCAATACATAAAGCCAGGTTTCAAACTTCATGAACATTCATCTTAGTGTTCACGATGGGTTGGCAAACACAGCTTTGAAGTTTTTCCTTCCAAATCAGCCAACACTGAAATGCAGAGTATCACGAACCTAGAGGTACACTGTTTTGTTTTGGTTTTTTTAATTTAAATATTTTAGTTCTTATGTTTTCACAATTTAAACACAAAGAAATTAGTGACAGGTTCACTGCTGGAATACACTACAGTGTGGTTAAGCCTTCTCCTTTTGGAGAAAGCAACATGATTTGATGTTGTTAAGATCGGGGGTGGGTCAGGGGTGTCAGTTCAAAGGCTCACTTTTTAGTTTTATTAACCTTAAACCAGTAAGCCATTTTTAGTTTCAAATCAAGTTTTTTACGTCTTAGCTAAATGCATTTACTGTCCAAAGATTCACAAATACCAGAGTAAAAGAGATAATAAAACATGTTTTTAATCTTTTAATAAGATACACACAGGGAAAATATAAACATACCCTTCCTGTAAGGCACACAGCATAAAACAGCTTTGAAGAGAATTCTAGTAAAAAACTGTATCCTATTTCAGGCTTGCCTAAATAAATCAGGGGAATTTGTCCAGCACCCCTCACTTCGAACTCGGAGAAAGCTCTAACTCACTCCTTTGTAATACTTCATATATTGTAAGGAGGTTCACAGGGTCAACTTTTATCCCTAATCTTGTGGAACTTTCCTCAATACCTCCAACTCCAAAATACAGACTGCAAAACTCTAGCAGCAACATTTAAAACACACAGAAACTGAATTACAGGCTAAGTAATTCTAGTAGCGCACCTACTGTATATTACTTATACCTAGGCCACTTCATAAATTGCACTAAAAAAAAAAAGACCAAGTGTTTCAAAGCTTGCAGTTTAAGTGGGTGATTTTTTTTAAAACAAAGTTTTATGATGTTCTTTGCATCTGACAGTGAAGTAAAAATGTTTAATTAGGTTAGTATTAAATGTATATTTAAGTTTGATAAAAACCTTACTGCTTACTTCCCGAGTTTCTTCAACTTTGTTCTATAAAGAGGAAAGAATAATTTTATTTTCCTTCTATACTACCTTTAAATGGGAAAAAAAAAGGTAAATGTCATTTTTTTACCCTCCAGGTACCCACAAGATTTAAAAACAGGTTTCAGAAAATAAAGTAGGACCATGAATTAGAACTTGAGATGAAGAGATATAGTTTTCAATAACCAATTTCATAGCAATAAAAACTTGACTTGGTAAAACAGTATTCATACATCCAACGTAATTAAGAAATTATCATCAAAACTTTAAAAGCATTCTAAGCCCCTCTGGACTATACGTAGTTAGGACTGATGGGGGGGCACAGTAAAGAAATCTCAGTTTTTGTGAATTATGTCCAGTCTGGTACGAACCAATAAAAAAAAAAAAAAAAAAAGGAACTTAACATACACTTTCAACATCCATCTGTAAATACTGAAACATGCATACATTACAGAAATCAAGGATTTTTGTAATACTGGGGAACATTAAAAATTATACCTGAGGTCAGCGTTTGTTTCTGGTAAGAAGCAAATGCAAATGAAACATATTGGCTCCTTGTGCATGAAAAGCACATACAAGTCTGCTGACTAGAAACATACGTAATCGAAGTGAGAAACACAGCAAAATAAACAGGGTACAGAAAATGAGAGCTATGTAGCCCTAACAGTAACTGAATCACAACCCACAATTTAAGTATCTGTATGTATTTCTTACAATGAAAATAGTTATGAAGGAACGCCTGTTTCTACAGCCTCAGTAAACTTAAGATTTGGACATACCTGGATACTCCTGATGAGACTGCATCTTGCCTTTCTTTTATTTAGAAGTCACACACAAAGACTCTGGCAATACTGTCCAGTAAGATTTTGCTGTAGAAGCATTTCAATGAAACGTCACTTTTCGAAACTATGCAGCTTGTCAGACACTTGCTGCTAGATGCTGTGACCTTGTAAAATTATTTAAAATATAATATGGCATACCTTGCCAAAAAATTTCCACATATACCTCTTGGAAGACAAGTTCGATATTGTTTCTTAAAAGGCCATAAAGCAAAAAGATGCTGGAACAAATGCTCTCAGAAGTCAACATGAACACAGCATGACCTTGTATACTGGCCTTAAATCTTCAAAATGCAACATACATTCAGTAACGTTGGGCCTCTGACCTCAGGTATTGACCATTTCAAAATACATTAGCGATACATATGAACAGCTGAACATATGAATATATATGAACTTCTAGAACAAGGTCATGTTATATGCATATTGTAAGAGTTTATAGTCATTTGCTCACTTCCGAAAATGTCCCTTTTAAGTGATTTGAGACATTTCACGGACTTTCGTATCCTTATTCATGGAGTACATAAATCCAAGTAGGAGGTAAGATTCATCTAGGAATAGTGTCCCAGAAACAGTCACATGTTTCTTAGTCTGTCTGAAATTAGCCATGGTTTTAGATATTTAGTCACAAATACAACAGAAATTTCCCCTAAAAAAACATAGCATATACCTGTAAATGAAAGAAGCCCTAATTCACAGTAAATAATGTTCGACCTCAGCCTTCTCTGAATATTTGCAAATCTACAGGACAGATTTATTCTCTACAGAACACAAGCTTTGCACTTAAAGCAAGCAGCAAGGCATAAACGTTTCCAGCATTTGACTGTACAACAGTGATCCCGTACAGCAGCTGTAGCACATGACAGCAGCTACAAGAGGTTGATTCCGTCTTGACAGTCTAAGGTGTATTCATGTAGCCTTCCCGCACTTTTAGGTGCAAGTAAAACTCAAGTAAAAATGGTTCTACACAGGTATATTGCAAAATTAAATGCTTCTTCTGGTAGGCAAGAGGGTTATTTTCCCCACAGTCAGTACCTGAGTTAGAAGATTTGAACTAACCAATGAATTGTACCAATTGTGTCTTTCCCATCATGCTTGATAACCCAACATTAAAGGAACCAAATAATCTGGGGAACGAGAAAGATCTGCTTCATTGAAAGGATCAAAGAAACAACAAAGAGCACTTTTTCATGGAATAGCACCCCAATAATAATTCTCCATTTATGCAGATCAAAAAAACAGCTACTCAAATGGAGGATGGGAGCTTTTCATCATCACCTGGGATAGTTAAACTTCTACAGAGCTGGCTCTAGTAAGGCAATTTCCATCTAGGAAATGTAAGCATTATTCACTGTTTCATGTGGTAGACTTGTGATTCTTATTCAATTCCTACCCACCCCGCTCCAGAAATTATACATTTACAGAATGGGGAGACATTCAACAAGCAGCTTGTGCATCTCTCAAACTACTTCAATTATACAAACAAAAAGGTCAATACAGGCAAACAACAGTGTGTCAATCTAAGAGGTCTAAATTAAGCAAAGGTCTACACATTCAGATGCTTAATGTAATTTGCTCCTTTATTTGTTTAGTCAGCTTAGGTATTCTAGCTTGGCTGTTTGACGTGCATCTATTTTCTCAGGTACCAAAAAGAAAGTGGCCAAAGGTTATGCATAATTTTAAAATTGTGTAAAAACAACATTATTTTAAGTAAGGAGATAAAGCAAGTTTGTGTCTGAATGGTCACAGTCCTTTGGATACTGATGCCACCTATCATGATTTTTCAGTATGACTGACAGTATGATTTGGCACTGATGCTGCTGCATCGTGTATACTAGTCCAGCATCCATACCACCTAGTCTCACCAGCTGCCAAGTATCTGGGATCAGTGAGAACCTGGGTTTGCACAAAGAACAGCAACTGATCCCTTGTTTTCAAAAGGAAATATTCAAATACCATCACCACATAAAAGCAGCTTACACTGAATTCCCTGACACAACTCCATTAAGTGTTGTTCTTCTGAACAAAAAAATACCATATATGCCACTCTGGTATCTTATTGACAGTTTAAATACTAAGATAAAAGGTAAAGCAATTTTTCTTCCCACAGCGTATCAGGAATACTTTAATAACCAAGAAGATTCAGATCAACTTTAATCAAAGCATAAGTGGCTGTGTATTTAAGCAAGAATAACTTGTATGCAAATAATCATTACTGATGTCAAATTAACTTCGAGTCATTAGCCTTTAAATGTCAGTGAGCAGAGCGTGTCATTCACATCCATGATCTAGAGCGGCAGACATACCCACAGGTAACAGAATCAGTGTTCACTCATGAACATGGAGTCCCATTTCTTTTTAAAGGAAAACATTCAGTAAACACTTCCGCCTTTTCTTTGATTCGAAGTGGTGGTAAAGTTGGGGGGGAAGTGGGGGGGGTGTTTTACCCATGTCATACTGAAAAACATAATTTTTTTTTTTTTTTTAAAAAACAATCAACTAGATTCACAAAAGTTGGGTGAAATGAAACACAACAAAGGCCTTCCCAGCAGGTATTGCCTTGCATTTGCCTTTTTATGAACAGAAAGATTACTACATAGTGAAAATCTTAAATCTACTAATATTGAACAGGCACCACATATAATCCGAACAAATACGTTCTCACTCAGTTTCAGAAGAATGACTTCCTTTTGCTATTACAGCAGCAATCCAGATCCCAAGCTGCATTTTATATGAAGATTCAAGTTGGAATAAGGTAGTTATTTACAAACCCCGTCCATTTTTTGAAGTACACCAAATAAAAGATTGCCTGTATCTTGCCATGTAAGAACAGTGCAACAAAATCTTTTATTGCTGACCAGGAAACAGTTTCACGTGATTAAAACAAAGACTTGTGCCCTTGTTCAAAAACAGACAGATAATGAAGAAATATCAGACACTGATCATGTCCATACAGTTTAAGCCTGCTTCCTTGTGTACAAACACAAGAAAAACAAATCACTAATTTTTTGCAAAACTAAGCCTTATTCACTGAGAAACTTTTTTTGCAAGTGAAATGAAGGAAATGGTTCGGATACAGCAAATAGCTGTCTCATGAAGTTATCTTAGTAAGGAAGAAGGTTCAGACATACTCTTCCAGCAGAAAACTTAAGTCTACACAAGGAGGCAGGACTGACGAACAGCTACATGTAACCTTAGATTTACAGCCTTACTACTGCAACTCTGCAAAATACAAAATGGTCTTGTATGAAAAATTTTAAATAAAACATCTTTTACATGATTGCAAATGCATAGTTTACAAGTTCAGTTTTGTATGCCTGTTGTCAGTTTTACAGCAAAGATGGACAATGTTTTGACAGATGACAATACAGGATAAGCCCTTTATTATGTTTCATTTTTATTGAACATTTCTGCAAATGCATATTACAACCTTACTTCAGGTTGCACGCATCAACTTAAGCCATGATAAATCAATACTTTTTGAAATCCAAATCCTAGTGGTAAGGGGTTAGGAAGTCGTTGATTTCTGTAGCTAGAGAAATTAAAACAGTGTAACAGTCACTCATAAAAGCAGTATGGTGCAAGAGGCTCTTTGGTGCCAAAAAATTGTCAGTGATGCATTTATGAATGCTACTGAGTAGAAAGCAATCCAAATTTACAACTCTTCCTCGCAGTGCTATAGAAACATTAAAGGACACTAGAGATTTCCATATCTTGAGCAGTCTGTGAAGAAATATCACCATTAAAGAAAAGCTGTATAAAAATCAATGACAAAAGACTTAAATGAGAAAGTATATCCTATCTTTCATCCTGCGATACAGGTCAGGTATGGCCCAGCTCTACAGCAGGCATATAAAATAATCAGACTTAAGGTGATCTACACATTGAGACCTGAAAGATCACTGCCTTAATCTCACACCCATTTATATGGGCATTTACGTGGCAATGTACTTGCATCATCTAAATCTTCAGTAACGCCTAAAGAACATACTGCTTACATACCAGCATGCACCCACAACACAGTCAAAGTCAAACACCTAGAATTACGTAGGAGCCCCAGATTTCAAGTGAAGTCTAAGAAATCCTAAAGTAACTTGCAATTCACATATCTACTGACTTGTGGGTTTTCTTTAAACCGGGCAAGTGTAACAAAAATGCAGACTTACTTGTGGGTTTTTTTTTTCCCCCCCAAACTACAATGTATAGGCCGATCCTCGCGTAGATATACACATATATACAAAATTTAATAGAAAAACAAAAGTCCTGTAGACAAGATTCCTACCTTGAGCAGAAAAACACTACATATACCATAAAGGAGAAACAGAGATAAAGGGCCAATTCTGTCATCACAAGCACTTACAGTTCCACACTAACTTCAGTCATTATTGCATGCATTAGATGCCCAGAGTTACAAGTATCTCTGAGTACAGTTGAGCAACCTGACTAAATTGCTTGTCCAGTATATCTCACTTTCAACCTGATCTAAAAGTCAAGGTACTATTAAGGATGTCAAGTAGAAGAGGAGGAAAAAAACCTCATGTAATTTGCTACAGCATTAAATGTAGTTACTTGCACAACCTGGCTGGGTTTAACAAAACTCAAGTTCCCATTTCAAAAACTATTCTAACTTGCAACACCTGCATGGTAAGAAACAGAAAAGATAAAATATGCTGCTTCTCAGACACTCATTTAGAACTGTCATCTCTAAAATCAAACATTCAATTTCTTTTAAAATGCAAGTTTGCTTTCACTGAACTATCACTGCAGATCCTACTTTTTTTTTTTTTTTCACTTGTGCATGCTTCAGTGTATTTCAGTACACAGCTGAAACATTTGCACCCCCTAGCTGTCACAGGTAAGACACAGTACTTATATCTAACTTACATTCATTTGCAACTTCAAATTTATTGAGGCAGTTTATATCAATGTATCCATAAAATAATTCAGAAATAACCCAAGTATACC